CGGGAAGCCTCTTCGGCAGCTCGCGCCCGCCTCGATCTCCTTTCCACTTGGGCCGCCAAGGCATGGATAGAAGAATTCACCTACCAAAAGGAAAAATAACAAATTATCAAAAGAACGATAGCAAGAAAGATAATAGCAAAAAGCCCGACAAGAAATTGCTAACTTACCACCATGGCATGAGTAGCAGCACAACAAACTACCTAGTTCAAAGGAAGCTCGGTCCATGCCGCGACCTCCTCAGGGTAAATGGCCTCCCTACTTTTCTGAAGAGCGTGGTTCGGCAACAACAGGCTCCTGAACTCGCCTTGGCCTCCCGAGCCTGAAGGCCCAGCTCGCGTATAAGCAGACTCAGAGTAAGCGGGAGCCCCCGTATAAGTAGCCTTAGCGTAAGGGGCCCCCGCCGCTTCTTGTACTGGAGGGGCCATCTCGGGCTCCCTGGGCGGATCCACTGACGGGTAGTCCGGTACCTCGGGCTCCGCATCTCGGGGTAGCTCGGCACGAGTTCGTTTGGCGACTCGCTTCCTCCTCTTCATGACGTGAAACAGGTTCCCACCACAAGTCTTCTCTACGTCCATCGCACCTGCAAAAAAGAGCTCGACATCAGGAAAACGAAAGAACAGAGCAAAACAAAAGGCAAGCCTTTGAGTAAGAAACCTACCCGAACTTAGACCGGCCTCGATGAGCTTGGCCTCCATCAGATAATGGTGGCATTTTAGCCCAGGCTGTACCCATTCCCGGAGGCCCTTCGCCGTCTCCCTATCAAGCGTAACACCGGCATCAGGGGCAGCCATCCCCCACCCGGTTTGGAACGGCCACCCCAATGCACTTCGCACCCCGAAGTAGTCCCGTTTCCACGCTGGGACCTTGTTGGGAAGATCGTGTAAAAGCTTAAACCCCGGGCGAGGAGACAGGTAATACGCCCGCCTACGCCCGGGAAGGGGACCCGCTTGCTTCTTAAGCATTAGAATAGAAGAAAAGATCTACAGGTCTAAAGACAAGATCTGCTCGCAAAATAGGGAGATTGTCCCCACCAAGTTACGAATAGAATTCGGGTGAAGCTGGCCGACAGCAACGCCAAAGTGGTTCATAACCTTGACAATAAGGGGGTGGAAAGGCAGGCGCAACCCAGCAACGAGTTGCTCCCGGAATAAGGGAAACTACTCGAGGGTATAAAGTAGGTGTACTCCCTAGGCAAGTTGAACTGGGTAATAAGGGAGTGAAGCCCCTCAGGCGTCATGGTCGAGGGCCCAAACTTGTCTAACGTCCGACCTCGAAGAGAGGAGGATGCCAAACTACCCGAGGCAACTCGGCCTACGGGTTTGAACTCTTCCTCGAGCTCTACCTCGGGTTCACTAGGGTTGTCGGGGGATGCAGCTCGGTTCGTATAACCTGCATCTGACCCCCTCGAAGAACTGTCTGAGCTATCCGAGCTAGACATCGGGAGGAGAAGGACTACAGGAACTTGAACGCGAGTTGAAACTTGGACACGAGCTCAAGAAGCAAAAATGCAGGAGAGTGACGATGAAAAGCGACTGGGGTCCCCCACTATTTATACCTACAGTAATCGAAAATCAACGGCTCTGATCAAAGCAAATCCAATGGCCCGCAGTCGCGCTGACCGCATGTCTCTTGAGACCAAGACGTGACTGGCCGCACGTCTTTTGAAACTGAAAGAGCGCTGGCGCACGTCTCCCCGTGTCAAAGGCGGCAGCGGCGCGTTTTTTCAAATTTGAAATAACGCCCACTGTCACGTCTCCCAGCGGCGCGTTTTTTAAATTTTGAAATAAGTGAGCGCTGTCACGTCTGTCAGCATTTATAGACGGATTGGCGCGTTTCCTGACTTTTTGGCGCTCGAGAAACCCGGAAGACTCCTGACAAATGCACACTTTGCACTATCAGTCAAACCAGTTCGAAGTACGAGTCAAATCCACCCGCCACATCGCGAACTCCCCGTGCCAGGGCAAGCCCCTTAGCGCAAGGAGTGGGGGGCAATTGATGAAGGAAGATTTGGCCCGACCTCGTAACCACTCAACACATGGCAAAGGCAACAGCTCGGCACAACAGCACGCCCAAGGCGCGAGCTCCGAAAGGAGGAACCAGCGGTCCGAACTCCCCACAAGGAGCCCGAACTCTCCCTTTGACCCCGGGCCTTGCGAGGAGCACCAAGGGCAAACAACCCGAACTGGCCCGCCCYAGGGCAGTTCGGGCCACACCTCTATCCGAACTCAAGACTTCACCTTGCATACCACTCCAGCACTTCGCCCCCAGGACGCCGAACTGAACAACTGTACCGTACCTGACACCGAAGGAGTCCGTATCTTGAGGCGGCGCACCTGACTGACTTGGGATCTGACGCTTGACAGCCGCACTTCAAAGGCCACCTACCACCGCCATCTCCAGTTACAGAGACGACTCCGACAAAGAGAGCAGTGGCGGTTCTGCCCCAACAAAGGTGATGACACCCGAACTGGCAGGAGCGTAGAGGTAATCATACCCGACCTGATAGAAGCTTGGGAGTGAGTGCGCGAAGTGGTTATAAAAGGCCCCCTTCCCCCCAAGAAGAGAGGTATGTGATAACTTTGCGCCATCTGGTTTTTATCTTGCCTTTGAGGAAATACTAACTTGAGCTTCGGAGCATTCTCACCGGGTTCTCCCCCGGAGATTACTTGCTTTCTCCTCCGTTTCAGGCATCTTTTGCTCCAGCCCGAGGCAAGATCGTTGACAGATAGGACCGGCTGGATTGCGCACCATCACACACCGTTCTAACTAGGATCAGTCCTTGGATTTTAATTTATGACTGACACGAAGCATTATGGTTGGTTCCATAGCCCTCTAATCCATTATGCTAATGTTGCAATATAGACCTTTTTGTGTACTCATATACACACATTACATTATGTCAAATAGAATCCTTAATCATGTTTTAAGTCATTTTTGTTTTCTTTTGCATTATTACTCACACTCAACTAGGATGAAATAATTGAATTATGAATTTATTTTAAGACAATCAAATAGATTGGCACTAACACAAGTGAAAATAAAAAAAGTGGCCACACCCAACTTGGTTAAGATCTATATTTGATTGTAGTATTATTCATTGGTTCAAGTATCCCGCACGGGCCATTCTACTAATTTTATAAAACAAAAATTTTAGATACATTATTAATTTTATTATCATCGTCATATGTGCAAAACACAAAAAAACATGCTGCTTGTCTCATCAAACGCCCTAACAGAACAAAATGTGTTGATTGTGTTATGTACTCTCATCGAAACCCACCTAATTGGGCTTGGGTTGGGCCTAGCATTGCACGAGCCGATCAAAAGTCAACAAATACGAATCCTCCGCAACAGTTTCTTCACGTTCACGAGAGCATCCGCTCCAGACTCCAGAGGGAACTGGCACCGGTGGTCTGGAACTGAAACACAATAATCCTCCTGGACTTGATTCTGGGGACATCGAAACAGACGGGATCGAGTTAAGCCGGGAAAGATGACGGAGGCAGTGATAAGGAAGAAACCAGGGATGGTTAGCGTGAAGGAGATGCCGCTTCTGCAGGACGGACCTCCGCCTGGTGGTTTCCCTCCTGTACGGTACGCTCGCCGGATCCCTACAAAGGGCCCCAGTGCCCTTGCCATTTTCCTCACTGCATTGGGTGCTTTCTCATGGGGCATGTATCAGGTCGGCAAGGGCAACAAGATAAGAAGGTCCGTGTTTCAAGTGGTCATTATCACCTTTTTATTTCTTTTGCACTATATGAATCTGGATTCTAGGGTTTCGGGATGCTTTTGTCTGGTGCTGCATTTCTGTCTTGTTTAATTTTTGTAATTCCCAAAACCTAAGTTTAGTTTTGTTCACTTTGTGAAATGTGATGGATTTTGGTTATTGATATCAAAATTATCGAAATTTAGTTTTATTTGAGGGTTTATATTAATTTCTTTTGTTTGCTCGTGAGGTTAGGTATATATTTTACTTTTTATATTTTTCTTTTCTTTTGTTTGTTTGATTTATGTGGTTGTCATTGAGGTTTCCATTTGATGCTTGATTAGAACCTACTGCTTTCGTTTATTGGCGATTATTACAATTTTTAAGTTCATTTTGTTTTTATTCTTTAGATTATGGTTTTCAACTTAAGCGATTTTGCATATTATTTTTATTTTTCCAGTTTCTAGTCTGATTACAGAATTAATCGTGTATGTTTTCTGTTGCCATTTTCTTGTGAAAGTACTCTATTTAGCATACTTGGTGGGTATTTGGTCAGAGGAACAATTTTCCAAAATATTTTCCTCAAGAAATGCTGATCTTAAGGGGTTTTGGAAAATATAGCCTGATTTCTGGAGAAATTGCATTTAGCAAAGATGTTGGCATGGCGATTTCTGGTGTCTTTTCTCAGGAACCATGTTTTCAATGAGCTATTTCTCACCTGATTCCTGAGCTTGTATACCAGACATGGTATTTGCACAATAATATATATTAAATCATTCATATGATCCCAATCTAACATTCCAAATTATTTAGTAGAATTGATAAACATGTTGTAGTGAGCGTCCAATGGCATGGATTTATCAAAATATTGCAATCACTCGTATGATCTCAATCTAACATTCCAAATTGTTTAATAAAATTGATAAGCATATTGTAGTAAGTATCCAATGGCATGGATTTATCAAAATACAAATTAATACATTCCCAATTTGGTGGGATTAAGTTTAAGCTCTTTTTTTTTTCTTTTTTTTTTTCATAATAGGCACCAAGGAAATTTTATTTTGCACATATTTTTTTCTTTTATTTTTAATGGGCACTAAGGAAATCTTATTTTGTTCTTATTTTTTCTTTTTAATTTGTAATAAAATGAGAAAGAAGATATAATGCCAGCCATTATTTATTTAGCCACTTTTGGCTTTTAATAGAGAACCCTAGTCTAAAACCTATGCAAGGAAGTAGGGTCATAGGGTGGTCCTGCACTGGCCTACTGGCCTGATCAGTTCTTTTCTTTTCCTTTTTTTTTCCTTTTTTCATTTTTTATGGACATCCCACCTATACCCAAACAAAGAGATAAACCAATCCTACAATTCAGCAGCAAAAGAGCAGGAAATAAATAGGTGATAGCAATCCTACCATTAGATTTGCAGAGAGTGCACTAGTAAGGGGATAAGTAATGATTGGGTCTTCGTTTTTGCAAATTATCCAAGGTGTTTACCTTCTCATAGAAAACTTTCCAACAAAGAGCATTAACTTAAGGGGGAATAGACCTACACTAGACTTCCTTGACAGGAAAAGCTTGAGGGTTAGGGAAGTGACAAAGAGACTTAAAAAAGGAAGCACATGAAAAGAAACCCTTAGGGTTAGGAGACCACACCCATCTGTCTGGGGAAAGGGGGTCCAAACAGATATTATCAAGAGGAAGCAAGAGCTTGGTCACAACAACACATTCTTCCTCCCTTAATCCTCTACAGAGGCCAAAGTCCCAGTTCAGACTCAAGGGATTAACATGAGAGTTAAGGAATTTTGAAACTTCCTCTTTTTTGTATGAGGAAATAGAGTACGAGGAAAGAAAGACATCTTTAAGGGCTGAGTTACCCACCCATACATCTTCCCAAAAACAAATAGAATTCCCTGAGCAAATATCATACTTGACAAACCCAAGAAAGTGAGGAAGCAAGCTGTGAATTGCCTTCCATGGAGTTGTTAAAGTAGCTCGTTGAGAAACACCTGCATTCCATCCATTAGCCAGTCGACCATGGATACTTGCCACCACCTCATGCCACAATCTTCCCCTCTCTAAAGGCCATCTCGACAACTATTTTCCTAATAAGGCAACATTCTTTTGAACCACATTCCCTAACCCTAACCAACCCTCCTTGCTCCTACACACTATCTCCCAATTGATCAGATGGTCCTTACTTTCCCCTAGCTCCCACAAGAAATCCCTCATTAATTTCTCTAACTTCTTTGCTTCCCTAGAAGAGATTCTAAAGATAGAGAGGAAATAGATAGGCAAGTTAGCAAGAGTAGCCTTTATCAATGTAATTCTGCCTCTCAAGGAAATATAGTTCTTTTACCATGCAACTGACCTTTTGCTAGCCTTCTCCAAGATTGGATTCCAAAAGTTGCTTTCCTTAGGATTGGCACCTAGGGGAAGACCTAAGTAGTTCAACAACCAAGAGGAAGTGGGGCATTCTAAACAAGCTGCTAACAAATCTAAATCCCTTTCATTCAAATTAACACCTGCAATGTAGCTTTTTTTCAAAATTAATCTTCAAATTAGAGATCCTTTCAAACCTCTTGATCAACTCCTTTAGATTCCTAACGTTTCTTAAATATGCCCCTTCACAAAAGATTATAATATTGTTTGCAAATTGAAGGTAACTATAACCTCATTTCTGCCAACTCTCCAATCTCTTAATGAGCCTTTGTCATCAACCTTTGATATTAATCTACTATGCACATCCACTACAAGAGTAAAGAGGAAAGGAGATAGAGGGTCACCTTGTCGAAGTCCTCTGCAGGCTGGGAAAAAGTCCCTTACCACTCCAATTTACACACAAAACCTTCTCGCCTAGACCTTCTCATCTCTTCTACACATTCATTTGCTATCAGAATTTGATCAATGATTTGTCTTCCTTTTATGAAGGCCCCTTGAGCTTGACTGATGATATCGGGAAGCACTACTTTTATCCTTAAAGAGAGAACCTTTGCCACTATCTTGTAGATACTTGTCATTAAACTGATTGGTCTAAAGTCCTTTGGGTGATTAGCATCAGTCTTCTTCAGGACCAAAGCTATAAAAGTGGCATTAACACCGACTGATAATACACTTGTCCTCAAACTCCTTAAATACCTCTATCAGATCATCTTTCACCACTTCCTAACAGTCTTGAAAGAAAGCTATTGTAAATCCATCCGAACCGAGGCCTTTGATCTGTCCAAAGAGAACATTGCCTTTCTAATTTCTTCCACTTCAAAAGACCTCACCAGCCAACTTGCTGTTTCATCACTTAATCTTGGCCAATCAATCCCTTCTACCCCCAACCGATTATTCAAAGGCCTTCTAAAGATAGATTTGGAGTGATTCGCAAAGATTCTAGAAATTTCATCTTGACTAGTAGTGGCATTCCCATCCATCTCCAATTTAGTAATGAAGTTTTTCCTTCTCCTTCCATTGGCTAAGGCATGGAAGAATTTGGTATTTCCATCTCCCTCCTTAATCCTCTTATGCCTAAATTTCTGCCTCCAATTCATCTCTTCTCTGAGTAAAACTTTTCCCAATTCCTTTTTCAAATTCCATCTCATCTCCCTCTCTTGTACATCAAGATCCCTTTGATGCTCTCTCTCGTCCAAATCCTCAATCTAGGAACTCAAGCTAAGCTTTTCCTAAAATGAATCTTGTTCCACTCTTTTATTTTAAGCCTAAACCTTTGTAATTTTTTTGTGAATCTGACTCCCTTCCACTTAACTTTCCATAAATTTTCATTCCACTATTCCTTTACTATTCAGGAAAGCTGGGTGTGTCAACCACATGTTCTCAAACCTAAAAGGTCTTGGTCCACTCCAAAAGGGTTCAGAACCTATCCATATAGGAAAGTGATAAGAGGTCAATCTAGGCAAGGCTTTAGAAACCAAATCTTCTAGTGGTTTTCCCAACTAAAATTAAAGAGGAATCTATCCAATTTTGGGCAAAGAGGGTTCTCTTGAAAATTAGTCCACGTAAATCTGGCTTGAAGTAGGGGGAATTCCTTTAGCTCACATTCATAAAGCTCTATCTAATCATTAAACTTTCTCATGCTAGTGGTGATTCATGATTGAATGTTGATGGTTACTTGTTTCTTCTGAGAACTTTATTACGTTAAAATCCTCACTTAGACACCAAGGGCCATCCTAGAGGCCCTGAATCGAGTACAGCTCCTCCCACATTTCATTCATTTTCCTATAGTTATTTGGGCTATAAACATTGGTTAGAACCCAAGTAAGGTCATCCTCCACATTTCTAAATTTGACCGAGACTGAGAATCTACTAATCAATTCCTCCATAGATTTCATTACATCATCCCTCCATAAAGTAGTAATTCTCCCTGAAGCTCCCCAAGAAGGTATGAAAGTCCAACTTACTCCTCTTGATCTCCACAAACTTCTTACCCGCCTTCTGTCTAAATCAGCTAGTTTTGTCTCTTGCAGCAACACGATATCCGGTCTCTCTCTCACGTCTCACCTCAATAAATCCTTGATCACTCTCCTTTTTCTTGTGCTCCCTAAACGTCGTACTTTCCAACTAACTATCTTCCTAAATACATCTTCGATAGGACCCTTGTGCAACTGGGAAAAGCTACTGAAGAGTTCTCCTTCTTATTCCCCTTCCACTAAACTCAATATATCCCTTAACATCAGAAATCGGTCTCTCTACATCCAACCTCTTCTTCCTCTTTTTCTTTTTTTCCACACTTTTCCCATCAGACGTTCTCACCTTTGCATTACCATCTAAAGTGGATTCTGTCTGAGTATCCTTTTTGGTTTTTGTATTAGACTCTGACTCCTTACTACCCTCCCCTTCTTGTGCCCCTTCCTTCTTTTTAATAAGTTCAGTCATATGATCTCTTTCTTCTACTATAGTTTCCTTTGCTTTTAAATCCTCAAACATTTCCATAATCAACCTCCAAATCCTTTTTGCTTCCACTTTCCCCACATTGTAATCACCACTTCTGCACCCCTC